CCTCCCCCCTCTCTGCCGATCCCCACGAAGCATACAACTGGTGTGACCAGAATAACGGTGGATGTGAGCATTTCTGCAGGCCGGCCGGTGTTCACTTCTTCTGCGAGTGTGCTGATGGATATCAACTGGGGGACGATGGGCAGAACTGTGAGCCGTCTGATGTCTGTCAAGGAAGCCCCCTGTGAGTTTGAGTGCCTGCCCCTCTCAGATGGGTACCGTTGTGCCTGCCCTGAAGGGTACATGCTTGCAGCAGATGATCGCAGCTGTCTGGATGTAGACGAGTGCCTCCAGAGTCCTTGCGAGCAGATTTGCATGAACGCTCCAGGGACATTCGAATGTAGATGTCGGGAGGGATACCATCCTGATGAAGACGGCGGGTGTGAGGATATAGATGAGTGTATAAATGATCCATGTGAACATGCCTGTGAGAACACTCTGGGCTCTCATATCTGCCACTGCCATCTGGGTTATTCCCTCATGCCCGAGGACCCAAGCAAATGCCAAGACACTGACGAGTGCCAGATCCCCGGGACCTGCGAGCAGATGTGTGTGAATTACGAGGGCGGATTTGAATGCTACTGCGAGGAAGGCTACGAACTCATGTCTAATCACTTCTCATGTCGCAAGATAGGACAAGGAGATGAGGAACCTGCTGTCACCCCTCCCTTTCCTTGGGTGACCAACCAGCCTGGACCTCTATGGGACCCTGTGGACTACGACTGGAACCGACAGCAGGGCCACACTGACTGGCCTCCAGAGGACGAGCAGGCTCTGGACTGGCTGACCGACCCACCCAGCGTTTTGGATCCTGATGTCATATGGGTCACCAGCGCCCCCCAGGAAGAAATGCTCTTTGATTTAGCCCCTGGTCACAAGCAGGCTGAGAAAGGCTTTGACGATGGAGAAGCGGACAGGGGACAGTGGGGGCAGAGACCTGGGTTTGACCTGGACATTTTGCCGACCACAATATACACAACGCCTCCCCCACCCACAAAGTCCAGCCCTACCCCAGACTGGTACGACGAGGAGGACGAGGAGGAGACCACCACGGCTCTCCCCTTCCTTTCCACCTCAACAATCTCTGAGGGAGCGTGGAATTGGTGGGCCACTTCCAGCCAGAAACCAGAAAGTACGGAACATTCTGTCATCGACCTCAACATGCCTCCGGATTCTGGCTTCCACAATGCGACAGAAGAAGAAGAGCAGTACCACCTTAGGGAAACCTCCCCAGAGGAGGATTATGGGAAGGAGGAGGAGGAGGAATTAGTGGAGGTCACAACCCAAAATGTTCCCACACAGCCGACTCCTTCCCAGCCAACCAACCCAAGCGAGATCTTTGACGTCACGGTTTCTGTCCAGGAAGAGCGGGGGCAGAAGGAGAGCAGCACCTGGCTCCTGGTGGGGCTCCTGGTGCCCATCTGCATCTTCATCGTAGTGATGGTGGCCCTGGGCATCGTCTACTGCACCCGCTGTGCTGTTCATTCACGCAGCAAGAACGCCACTGACTGCTACCACTGGATCTCTGGGGCTCACGATAAACAAGGAGCTCCTAACCTCTCAGCAGGGGTCAAGACCCACGTTTAAAGAGAGAACAGAGAAAGTGACATTTACATAACCAGACTCTGCTTCAAAGCAGGAGTGAATAATGGAACTGGGACAAGCTAAATGTTTTACCCTCTCTGACTGTTGAACTGCCCACTCTTTGAACACATTTGGATTTTACTTTTAAATATCAATGGATTGAGGCGGAAAAACACTAAGTTTTTTCTGAGATGGGATTGTGGTGTCTTTGATGTTTTATACACTGACCACGCAGCACAAGGCCATTGCTTCCTCATTGCACTAAGACACATGATCATACAATATAAGTGCCTTCATTATGTTTGTACAAAAATATCTGCTGATATCAGAGAATAATGTGGGTAGACATGTATTCACTTTCAAAATGTCACACTTGAGCCAGATCCAGAACTGATGGCATTCGACCATATTGTGAGAGCAAAACTTTACCATGAGGTTTCTAATATGCAAAATCCTCAGGCTCAGTTTTTACGATAGCATATCACTGTAGATAACTTGTACTGTCAACTGTGTTAAAGGGATCAAAATGCATTGCTAGCTCGCATAACAAATGAGACTGTAAGCAAATATCCCTTCAAGAGATAAGACATTCTGCAGTCACATTATAAAGCTGGGAAGCAGTCATTTGAAAATCACTGTGTTGAATGTTTGATAAGAGACCAAAACCTTATTTGTATATAGTGGTTCTTTTGTATTTATGTTTGTTGCATATTTTTCACCAGCATTTTTATAGAAAATGTAACAATTCAATTACGTACCTTCTTTCATGGAGCCCATAAACCTAGTGAAATGTAAAGGAATGTCTGCACATGGGAATAGTTTTCCCCACTCATGCCCAGTTTAAGAGCACTTCTCCTTTCCTTGACTTTTCTTTTATTGTGTTTTCTAAGAGGTTAGAGTGCAGATGTTCACACTGCACAGGGAATGTTGTAGGGGCCTGTGGTTGACATTAGCCATGGCCTTGTTCGTGATATGGCCATCAATCACTCTTCGTAACCCTAATTCATTATTACAGCCATACACGTATTGTCTTAAACCAGCCCTGAAATGTTGTACGGCTGTGTTGGATTACACCCAGCTGTGTGTGCGACACATCGCTGCTGCAGCTTCAGATGTTTTCAAACTGAACAAACATGTTCCATAAATCTCAGATTCCAAAATGTTCACATGTGGATAGAAAGCTGCATTAACTTGTTTGGAGAAGTGCACATTGGATATTAGGGTGTATGCGTAACCCTAACAGACCAAAGACAGAACAATGAAAGAACAAAAGGTACTTACAAGTTAACAAAAACAAATTCAGGATGAAATGGATTGATGCCTGAAACAAAGTGCCAATCCAAATGTACACATGAAATGTGTCTTTACTTTAATAATAGACTGTGAAATGTAAGAAACATCAAATGTCTTTTCTTTGTTACATTTTAAGAAATTGTGAATTAAAAACTATGACAAGGGTTCAGTGTGAAATGTTATTATTGACCTGAAACAGCAGTTTGACCATCCATTTCTTAACCTATTGTGCACGTACTAGCTTTTACAGGGGCTTCTAACAAAATCTCACCGTCTTCATGAGGGGGAGAGGTTTGGTCAGTGGTCATTAAGATTGTTCAGAAACATAGGAATTGCCATCACCTCGGGAAGACTGTGAAATGTGAATGAAAGGTCAAAAAAAGGTAGGAAGATTCTGGAGTTACATTAATGTAGGCCTAAAGGGTTTAGCTTTGTGCACAGATAGGGGACTTTAGCACCTGCTCTTTTGTCCTCTTGAGAATGTACTTTTAATTTGTTTTTAAATCAATTAAATTGCCTATTAAGCTATAAAAAAATGTAAAACCTGTGTCTAATACACATGATCTAAAGCTTATGTTTAGCTTTCCTAATGTTGTGCCTATTTATGTCTTACATTTACCTAGTTTGTTAGCACATAGTAAAAGTATATTAGCCAATCAAATCAGCATCTTCTTATGGCCCGTTATTTCTGAGGCGTAATCTGAATACCTTTACAGAGGAGGTGGGACACCTCATTTGTTTGCATGCAGCAATAATGAACTGTTGTGTAGCAGTGTTTTAACCAACATCCCACTTAGGTTTGTTTTAAATACATAGATTTTAATATCCCTTCAAACTGTCAAAAAAGTAGTTCGAATAGATTTATGAAAAGGTAATGCCACATGCCAAATGTTTTGAATTTGGGCCCCTGCCCTTCTAACATCCTCAGCACATGCCCGGCTGTTTTTCATTGTGTACGGTTTAAACCGCTGGACTTTTAAAGTAACACTTCCTGGTAGATATATTATTGTTATTCATCTTTATAGAGAACCAGCTGTGAATTTAAAAGCAGTCACCATCTCAGAAACGTGGATGAGTGAACGTGGGTGGAGGTTGGTGTGTGTGTGTGACAATAGGGATACAGTCATTTCAAAAATAACCTTGACCCCCCCAAAGGCCTTCAGTGTGGAGAAAGGGTTTTACGGAGAATACATCAGGATGCTGGAGCGCAACCCCCACCCCGGCAGTAAAGGAGCATTGTGACTGTATGAACTAATGGAATGTGCTAATCAAAACCAGGTTCTGGCTCTGCCAGTGGCTCTCAGAGGGGGTCTCACTCTCACTTCTCTCTTTGTCTCCTCCCCCCTTCTGACCTATTTTCAACACTGTCATTCCTTCTGAAGCTCTCAGTATACAGACACAATCCAGTCCTGGTGAGCTGCTCAATCCTGAGATCTTCAGTAACCCTCTCCTAAACATCATGACGTCAGTCCAGCTGATGTATATTACTGTATGTCAAGATGCAAAGTTGAATTCTGTTTAACCCTCCTGTCGTGTTTGTTACCCCCCCTTTACTTTGGTGTTCCTGGTCAAATGGGACCGGTCTGTTTAAACTGCTCCTACATTAACACAAACAAATTATCATAAATATAAGCAAAACAAAGATTCTGTTATTTGGAAAACATAAAACAAATCCACAGGTGGAATTAATACTAGATAACATACACATAGAAAGAGTATATGAAATGAAGTTCCTTGGTGTGGTTTTAGAACACAACATCAGCTGGAATCCTCATATCACTCATGTAAAAGCAAAACTGGCTAAGACTATCGCAATATTGGGAAAAGCCAGATACATTCTGGAACTCATTGTATACTCTATATAACACACTAATATTGCCATATCTGATTTACTGTGTGGAGATTTGGGGAAACACGTACAAAACCAACCTACAGCCGTTATGCACATTACAAAAAAGGGCTATAAGAGTTATCAATAATGTTGGATATCTTGAACACACTAATGTATTATTTTTGAAGTCACACATATTGAAGTTCACTGATGTGGTTACATTTAAAACGGCACAAATCATGTACAGAGCCAGACATAATCGACTTCCTAGGACATTAAAAACATTGTTCATAGACAGAGAGGGTGGGTATAATTTGAGAGGAAATCTACATTTTAAACAACTCAAGGTCAGAACAACTCTGAGAAGTATGAGTATAACAATCTGTGGGGTGATTGTATGGAATGGTTTGGAGCAGGAGTTCAAACAAAGCACAAGCATCATTCAGTTTAAAAGGATGTACAGAAACACTTTTTGGGAAAACTATGATGAATAGACAATGAACATATATGTTTATTTGTGGTGTGTACTGATGTGATGGATGACCATAATCTGGGGTTACCCATTAATTTCCTATGGGATACTGTTTTACTGGGAACATCATAGGTGCTACAAAGTTGACTAAACCTCAAAATTCAATGAAAATGGTGAACAGCAATTTAATATGTTGAAATAGCTACTGTGACGGATATCATAAGGACTTGAAGCAATCAGACAACACAATATTTATGATTGATTGCTCAGATTTGACCCAAACATGACAGGAAGTAGTATTGTTGGGGTTTAATCCGACATATATATTTTCCGTAGTAAAAAAGTGTGCTCACCAAGGTATTATCTCATGATGATATCACAAAATAAAAGTCTGTCAGGACAACAATCACATCTGGATAAACAAGTCAAACCTACCTGGATAGAAGGCTAACTTTTTATTTTGCACAACTGCCTGTGTCATCAAAGTTTACAGAACCACTTCCTGATGTAACCTTGACCTACTGTCCTTCCGATGCAATGAAACGGGATTACCAAACAGGAAGAGCGACTCCTGGCTCAGGGGCTGCAGATCCATGGTTGCATTCCAATAGTCCATTTAGCTTAGGAACCTTCCTAACGGAGTGAAATGACCCGGAAGTACGTCACTGGCAGCCATGATAAGTGCCGTTCCAATTCTCCAAATGAAAGGAAAGGAGGTTTCAAACTTCCTTTATAACCTCCTTTAGCTTAGGAACCACTGGACCTCCCTTACCGAAAGGAGAGGAGAAAATACTGCCCCACAATGCATTGCAGCCGCAGCATTTGCCATCACAACAGTCGGCCGTTCACGGAAACAACCGATTATGACCGATACATGATATCATGAAAGTTACGGTGCTTATTAGGCATTTTAAAACATATGTGGTAAGTTGTCAAAGTGCTTTTTTCTGAACGTTCATCAGTATTATAATCAAAAAGAGAAATATGAACGTTAGTTTTTACTGAAATGATCAAATAAAGTCAACATTTCACAGTCTTTACTGAGCTGTGTGGGGTTTGTTCAACTTTTAAAAGATGTTTGAATGGTGATATACACAGTGATAGATGTTAAGGACTAACGTTTATAATAAATACATGTGTATTGATTTTAAGATATTTTCATCAATCATACGTATTGGGATCATTTGTATTAATGTGGACCGGAGGGAGAGGGTGACGAGCATAAGTTTCACTTTCCTTTTTTATTTAAATTCCAACTTTGGTCATGAAGAATATGTTTCTCTGTTGTCCACGTTCATAAAGCATAAAACAACAGCATCAGAGCACGGTGCAGAGTCTCTAGATGAGTTTACAGTAGTCCCTCGTTCTTATTGAACATCCATGTTGTAGTCCGCTGTATAGAGAACTGTAGTTTCCATAGTTTCCCCACAGCAGCAGACGCACATTCATGACGTCCGCTGGCGCATCATAAACACGTCGGATAGTGAAAGTGCATTCGGATTCTCTAACGTACCACGGTCTCTTCTCCTAAGTCCTTTTGAATTCTCCTATCCACTATCCCTTAACCCCGTGACGTTTCACTCAGAGGTCAAGGAATAGGAGATAGGGTTAGAATTTAGGAGCTGATTTTTGGATTATCGGAACGCAACCCAGGTGCGCAGACCAAGCCCCCAGGAAGTGCGCCGGACTCAGATGAAAATATTCATGCTGGCCAAACGGCGGTACTACACTTCCGTTTGGTTGCCAGGCCCGGAAACACTTTTTCCCATTGACTTACATGGGGAAAGAGTGGTCTGTAACTCGTTGGATAATTTTAACTAAATAAACTACCCAGTATGAACATTTGTATAGCCCTTATTAAAAACATTCGTTCCTCAAGTTGTAAAAATGTGCTAATAACGTTATTCTGAGAGTTATTTCCCTCTGCATTATGAACGCGCATCTAACCCACGGGACCGCGCCGCCCGGCACGTTCATGTTACGTGTCCCGACCAATCAGAGCACACTGTGCTCACAGGGAGGGTGGGGGCTGGAGCTATTGGAGCTATTGGAGCTACAACGAGCCGTTAAAGGCAGAGAGTGAAATTCAGTGAATACACGTAGTTTACAGAGATGCTGTTTGAGAAACCAATGTGAGTTGCGTTTATCTTTACCCATGGATGCACAATAAGAACGGATCCATATCGTCTTACTGCCATCCCACGGAGCTGTAATAATGGATATATTGCACATGTTTGCTGTAATTCATTATCATACTACATGGGCTGTATGATTACATCCTGTACCGTAAATGTTGTATTAAATAAAGTTAATATTACCGACATTATTAACGTCCCTGTAGCTTCGTATTGCACTAAGAAGCTTATTGCACTGTATATAAATATATATATATAAATATATATATATATATACAGTGCAATAATTATTTCATGCTAAATGAAGCTCTGTTGGATATCACTAGATCCTGTTACAGCGTAATATAAGTACATAACGATTGATGTGAACATTAGCATCATTACTAGCTAGCCGCTAGCTGCTAACTGCCGCCTCGTTCATATCAAATCCATGATAACAACAATCCATTACCATGCTGTCATGAACGCGCGGTGCTGTTACGTGTACGCAAATTGACGTGCTTGATGTGAACGAGCATTTTGGTTAAAGTTGCGCATGCTCTATGAGTGCACATACGGGTACTTCTCAGGCATGCTGGGTAATCTGTGACGTTTCACTCTCTCAAAAGTTGGGCCATTTTATCATCATGCACTAATGAGCAGCTCTCATAGGAATGAATGAGGCCCCGCCTCCCACGCTGTATCCAGTTCTTATTATACATCCATGGCGCAGACCCTCATCGGGGC